ATTTATCTCTATATACACAAACGTCTAGAAAATCCGTGGGGATGATTCATGTCGAGCATTCGACCATCGTTCTACCATGCCTTGGCAGAACTTTGAGTCAAAGCGCCCTAAGCACGCCACCACCCAGCCAATTTATTTAACAGTTACGGCTGACATCCCTGGAGATGCAATCCGTGGTGCAATGGATCGCACAACTCCCGGCGTGGAAGTCGAAAGAATGGGGCAAGTTTGTTGAATGCCCCCCCCACCCCGCCCCAAGCAGTACAAATAAATACAGCTTTGGCAGGTCGTGTATGGTAGGGTAAAGTGTGAGCACTTTGCTCCCACCTCTTCCAACATGTAAGGCCAGCGGGAAAGAGTAGGACAAACCACCTTCAAGACGGGGTTGTCTAGAACTCCCTCTAACGCAGGCCCCTTCATCAGCAGTTGTGCGAGCAAAGATATTGCAGCAGGGGTGCGCTTTTCCCTTGAACTAAACTTACTGCCACTTGAAATGAGTGTGAATGTGGCTGCAGCTCCCCCTCTTGTCTGTAATCGCGTCTGCCAAGCCAAGAGTGCAGTCTCGTGTAAACGCACGAGAGCACGCCGCACCACTAGATGCTACAAACGCCTTGACACTGCAGTGTATACAACAACAACAACCACATCCCAAAGGTACAAAACACATAAATGGGAGAAAGAAACCCCATTGACAACTTGCAGTTTCTGGCTTTTAATAGTGCGGTCATTCTCAGCGTAGAAAAAGCTAAAGACATTCGTTAATAACGCCGTGGCCTTAAAGGGAAAACATATAAAGGTCCGTTGCCTGAAACGTCACTAATAATTTGTTTCCTTTTTAAGCCCACAGTGTTATTGACAAATGTGTTGAGTTGGATGTTGTTGTTATTTGTGCTTGTGCATCACTGCCAACGCAGCAGCATCAGCAGGGTCGTTACCTTCTCAAAAGTGAAAGTCAACTCTAAAAGCGCCCCCTTCACTAACACGACAACGAGGCCATGCTTATCTCTTTTGACAGCCAGTGGTGGAAGTTCCAATGCCCGTGGCAATGGCCAACGGACCTCTACGTATGGTGCGAAAGAAGTTCAACATATATACATGTTTTGATTTAAAGCTTTCGTGACTGCAGGGATTCATATTCTTGGTTCTTTCGGTAAAGTCACGTAGAAGGGAAATAATAAAATAATAAAAAATTTCAACAATAAAATTCTCACGACGTTTCGACTGCAACACAAGCTATCATCATTAGGTGTCCGTGGGGCTGACGTTAAGAAAAAAACGCCACTTTTTAAAATTTTCTTTGCTGTGGATTTCACACCTGCTGATTGCTTGTGTTGCAGTCGAAACGTCGTGAGCATTTTATTGTTGAAATTTTTTATTATTTTATTATTTCCCTTCTACGTGACTTTACCGAAAGAACCAAGAATATATATACGTGTATTTTGTTTGAAGGGGCGCCACGGTGGTGTGATGTTATCTTCCTCGCCTGATATTCAGGAGGTCATGGGTCCGATCCCGACCCTCACGCCTGTATATTGGAGGCGACGCGTCTCTCTCCCACCGCGCTCGTGTGGATTTTTTCTCAGAGTCGTCCGGTTTGTCTCTCCACATTTAGAAGCGTGCGTACAGGTTACTTAGATGATGTTGCCGATAGACACTTCCACGTGATAAGCCACTTCGTTGAGTTATCATTTGTGGCCAGGTCACTTTTGACAATAAGCTAATAGCTCAGTGGGCTTTGGCACCAATGTAGGCATGACTCGCATTCGTTTTATTGATGATGATGAACCTTCACCAGGATGTGACTCTGCAACCTTGCGACTGTGAGTCAAGCAGATAGAAGCTTGTCACGACAGATTGCCAACCTGTTTAGTTTCTGCGGCCCGTGTGTAGGTGCAAGATCGATGGGTGCATTGCAGAGGTGCCGAGAGCCTGGGGAGGCCTTCATCCAACAGTGCATTGATCGCTCTTCTCTTTCACATATGTGAAACTTCTTTCGCACCGTACCTAGCCAACCGTTCTCGTCGGGGGTGCGGGGGAAGGCCAACAAACTAAACACAAAGAGCAGTTCTAAAAAATGTTTCAATCTAGATTTAAAAGTGCATACCGTTCCAGTGGCTTCCTAAAATCGGAAGGAAGAGCGTTCCAGACGGCCGCAGAAGCGCATCTGAAAGCGCGCGATGCAGTGACCGTCTTTGTTCGATGGTTAGCCCAAACGCTGCTGCGCAGATGATCAGAGTTTGTATTCGCAGCGATAAATCCATGTCTGGGTTGTAAATCCAGCTTCTGTCTTCCAGGCACAGGGAGTGAATCCCACTTACGTCCTTGCAGTAGGACACAAGTTGACACAGAGACCCATAGACTCACACAGAGACCCATATACTCGCATAGAGACCCCATAGACTCATGCAGAGACCCATAGACTCGGATAGAGACCCATAGACTCACTCAGAGACCCATAGAGTCGCATAGAGACCTATAGACTCATGCAGAGACCCATATACTCGGATAGAGACCCATAGACTCATGCAGAGACCCATAGACTCGCATAGAGACCCATAGGCTCATGCAGAGGCCCATATACTTACGCCTGAGATCCATAGGCCAGCATAGAGACCCACAGGCTCAGACAGACACATATGCTCCGAGTGGACATGAGTTCATGGTTCAATGTGTGCATCATATGTCCGTGGCCTGTAAGACAAGTTTAGACCACCCCCGGTGAACGTGCGATGTTTTCTCTGTTACTAAATCATGCCTTTATGCAGCATGCCGTTTGGAAATCAGCAAAAATCCAGATTGTCGCCACCTCCTGGTTCGCCAGGGTATGGCATGCAGAAAGTGGATTAATTTCCACCTATATTCCATCTGTATGGCAGAGGTCGCAATCGGGCACCCGATACCCGTACCCTACCCGATACCCGGCTACCCGTACCGGGTACCCGTTTGCGACCCTGGTGCGGCCGGGTACGGGTACGGGTAGGCCGTGAGTCACTGGTGAGTAACCGTTTGTCACTCAGTTCCCAACGTCTTGTCTCTTCTCACAATTCAAGTTCCTAGAATCAAACCAACCGCGCCTGCAACATGGCTTCATCCCAGAGGTCGCAATCGGGTACCCGTACCTGTACCCTACCCGATACCCGGCCGGGTACAGGTAGCCGGGTATCGAGTAGGGTACGGCTACCCGTTTGCGACCCTGGTGCGGCCGGGTACGGGTAAGGAATCAAAACCCGTTTGCGACCTCTGCTGTATGGGGACTGAGTGTTGCCGTCCATCGGCAAGCGTGGGTTATCTTCGGATACTCTCGGGTTTCTCCGGCTTGTATGAACACTCACTCACGGAGTTGGCTCAAAGCATAAACATTTCGGACCACCAGAGCTTGGGCAACTGTTTTTGTGCCGGTTCGGGCTGCCTTCCCAAGCGCTTGTCTGTGGTGTCCCAACGCTGTCGTGCGAAAGCTGCGCGCAATACACATTCTACGCCATTGTAAGATGTAATTAATACTACTGGCATTGTAATATGTAATTAATACTACTGGCATTGTAATATGTAATTAATACTACTGCCATTGTGATATGTAATTAATACTACTGGCATTGTTATATGTAACTAATACTACTGGCATTGTGATATGTAATTCACACTACTGGCATTGTGAGATGTAATTAACACTACTGGCGTTGTAAGATGTAATTCACACTACTGGCATTGTGATATGTAATGAATACTACTGCCATTGTGAGATGTAATTAACACTACTGGCATTGGAAGATGTAATTACAAGTCGACTGGAATATCAACTTGTAATGCGCCACACTGTAGCCACACACTCTCAAAGAGAGGTAGAGAGAACGACTGAGATATGCGAGAAACTACAGACGAGCAGTAACAGCAGCCACGCTCCTCGATATATATAAAGGTGTTACCGGCCAATTAACGAGTGTTTGTATGTGAGAGGAAACCGGAGCAACCCGGGGAAACCCCACGTGTGCGAGGGGGAAACACTCTATCCCCATACAGACAGAACAGGTGGACCCCACAAATGTCTGCATTGCCTTCTCCTGGTGAGCCAGGATATGGCAGCTCCCTGACCCCCCCCCCCACCCACGAGAAGGGAGTTTCACAATGTCTGTGTGATTCACCAACCCTCACTGCCTACCACGATGTTATACTGGTAGGAACCTCCTGGTTACACCAGCGCACAGAGGATTATTGTGTCCGTCGTGCAGGGAGGAGCTGGGTGGGGAGGGAGCGGCTGGGTGGGGAGGGAAGGGTGGGGAGGGGCTGGGTGGGGAGGGTGGGGAGGGTGGGGAGGGTGGGGAGGGAGGGGCTGGGTGGGGAGGGAAGGGTGGGGAGGGGCTGGGTGGGGAGGGTGGGGAGGGAGGGGCTGGGTGGGGAGGGAAGGGTGGGGTGGGGCTGGGTGGGGGGTAGGAGGGGTGGGGCTGGGTGGAGAGGGGCTGGTTACCCCGTGGTGTCCTTACGAAACTCAACGTTTGACCTACTCACGCCGGCTTGTGCCTGCCCTCACAGTCGGGCATATTTGCGGAATACACCACGCCGCCGTTGACCCTGGCCATTGACCGAGCAACCCAACGTTCCTACCAGCTCCCTCCGCAGGAATGTGTTATTACAGGCGTGTGTAGCCACGACTGGCAGGAAAAATGCATAAACGACTCCACTATACGTATGTATTTATGTATGCTGCTTTTCTTTCGCACCGTACGTAGCTAACCGTGCCAATCGGAGGTGCGGGGTAAGGACAATAAACTAAACACATAAGGCAGTTCGAAAAAAATGCGTTTTCAAACTAGATTTAAAAGTGCTTAGCTTCAGTGGCTTCATAATATCAGAAGGCAGAGTGTGGGGGAAGCACAACAAATATCATTATTATCATCATCATCCGATTACTAACATATTCCATTGATAAAGCAAGCATGTACACACACGTACAGGATTTTATTTATTCATTATTTGTGTTTTCATATATAAACGTAAATGTGAACCAATTTTTTTTTGTTTGTTTACGATCGCGGGTTTAACTGTACGTCGAGACAAAAAAAGTTGATGAATATAACAAAACATCAATCCCATACCCCCTCCCCTCCGCCACCGGCCCTCCAACTCACCTCCTTCCATACAAAAAAGACAAATCACATAAGCCTCTGTAATGAAAGCAGGAACACCATTTTTAGACGGGAGTACAGACTTATTCAATATTCAATGGCAAATGAAATGCAATCGTTATAGTCAGACGTAAACATCCGAGTTCAGCGCTGGATAAACTCGCGTGACCTCTAATGCAATGTGCCGGTATCGATATAGCGAGTGTCCTAACACAGTACTTGACGTCATATCGTGCCTTACTTAAAGTACATACGCAACAAAGTGAGACGCGTATGCCTATCCAGTGGCAATAGTATTCATTTGTATAATTGCTTCGTTAAACTATGCACGGATAAAGAAGCGATGGAATTGATTTTGCGTATACCTTATGTACAGCATATGTGGATCTCTTGCCCTTCAGGTAAGCGAATTAAGCCATCTGTCGCGCCGAATAGACCACATGGACACCGCACCCACATTTAAGGGGCATTTGGGAGAGAATATTTCGAGGGAGGGAACCACTCCAGATTTGAAGTTTTCGTGACTGCAGAGATCTATACTCTTTGGTTCTTTCGGTAAAGTCACGTAGGTATAAAAAAATAAAAAAAATAAAAATTTAATTACGACGTTTCGGGCGATGACGGACGCTTGTGTTGCGCCCGAAACGTCGTGATTAAATTTTTTATTAATTTTTTATACCTACGTGACTTTACCGAAAGAACCAAAAGAGTAAGGAGTGAACCAAAGAGTAAGGAGTAAGAATATGAATCCTTGCAGTCACGAAAGCTTCAAATCTAAAATGAGTGAACCACTGTTTTCAGAATCGTAATATTTATTCATGCTGGAGGAATCCCGTGAGCTATAAAGCTCCTTTTGACAGACGTCCAATCAGTTGGGCGGGTTTACTCGCCCATCACGATGTGGCTGTAACACCGTAGGGGGTGGGGGGGGGTGGAGAATGCTCCATGATCCGCGATGCACCGGTCAATGATGCTGGCTCGAGGGCATTCGCGTAAAGTATCATTCATCAGGGGCAACGTAGGGCAGCGAATGGCACTACGGCAACAACAAACAAAGATCCATTGTTGTACTCTACCACGCTGCCGCGTCTATGCTCCTCGCCTTCCACCAGCCCTAACACGTGCACGGTTTGGGAGGGGGTGGCTCTCATGTCACCGCGGATTGGCAAAAAGGGCTGCACACACAATGATCGGCGTTGATCGCGCGCTCTTTGCCATGCGCACGCGCGTTCGCTGTGCGCAGACTCAACTGGTTACCGCCCACTCAGCGAACCGCCGCTATTTCACGACGGTCTTTAAACCCGTTCGTGTATGGGCGTTCAGCGACGGATCGAAAATTGCCAAAAAAGGGCAATTGTAGAAGAGAGAAAATAAAAAATAAAAATCAAAGCTGTCCAATTTCGTTAAGGAACAAAAATCCCGACCGAGCGTAGAAGTGTCTTGGCAGAGGCAGGGATTTCTGCTGTTACACTCATTACACATCTAATGGGCCGGGCGTTGTGTACAAGCTGTCAGAGACTTGGGCTCGTCACACATCGGCCCTTGCCAGTTTACACCTACCCCCCCCCCCCCCCCCCCCGATTTAAACGATTTGACATCCTCAGCACGAAAACCAGCCTGCAGTTTGCCCTGCATTGCCATGACTCACCGAAATATACCAGCTCACTGGTGCATCGTTGAATTTGCAGGCTTCATTTCCAGGACAAATCCCCCCCACCCCCCAACGAGGGGATCACCCTCCATACGAGCCGCCAAGTCCGACACCAAACTCACCGTGCATCTCGAGTGAGCGAACGGCGTTATTGTTATTGATGGCCAATTGCATTGTCGAGGACAAGGGAAGGCTCGGACATTTTGCTTTGTTAGGTACATTTGTGAGAAGTATTACGTGGTGGTGGTGGTAGCACAACGAAGTGTATGTACAATTTGGACTAAATATTCGACCACGCACGTAGACCTGTAGCGAAGCGGCCCTCGTGATGACACTCGGGTTTGGGCAGTTTGCACGTGGGGGCGTTTCTTGCTCCTACCACGAGGAATATATTTTAAGCTGTCAGTAGGTGGCATTATTCGCTCTGAAAAATGCCAAGCAACATTCCATCACTCTGGCCCTAGCCAAAGCCTTTAAGAAAGTGCAAATAACCATAGGGAGAAAGAAGAAAGAAGAAAAAAACCGTGAACGTATACCTGTGCTATAAACGTGGCAAAAGTAAGAATTAAAATACTGATATATACTCTATGTTACATGGGATACTTTTGTTGAATGAATTGAGACGTATAGGTGTTCTTAAGTTGGCACGGTCACGACTAATGTAAAGCCAGTTGTGATTTGGTTATTTTCAGACGAAAAAAAGTAGATGCATTTATAACATTCGTTAACATCACAATGATGGCGTAAAAACAATGATATACCATACATCGTAATGGGGACTCACAGTGCGACTTATGCAACGTGTTTTTGTTAAATGATGCTTTACTAACCAATATGCTTCAAATTACAGAGGTTACACAACAACAAAGCACCGAGTCGTATACATTTAAAAATATATTTGATAAGAAAATCTCTTTAATAGGAATTTTCACCCCCCTTAAAAAAGGCCTGCAGCTATTTTTAAATTGAATTATTTTTTTTTATTCGTAATAATTAACATTTTTTAAATGAATTATTGCGAGCGAACATCACGCACAACCCCTATGCATAAGCATACATATATATAAAACATGTTATCATACAAAAAAAAGTGTGTTTCATCATCCCCTTTGTAAAACAACAACAGAAAAGGTTTCATTAGAAATGCTGACACGGGGGGAAAAAAAATGTTAGCCTCGTGATGTTTAGCGAGGAAGCTGAACGTGAATATTGGCTGCCGTACTTGCGCAAAAACTTGCAGTGGACACCTACGGACAGGCTTTCTGCCCATAGAGTTTGATGATGATGATGACTTGCGCGCAGTACCATCGGCAGAACGCAACAGAGAGAGAGAGAGAGCATTTCAAGAACGATCACAGTGCCAGCAGAGAGTGTTGCCCTTTCACCGCTTACCACCGTCCGTTTGAATTGTGAGAAAATCACGTGAGAGAGATACTCTTTAAATGTTAGTCTCTGACATTGGCAAACTTTGTCGAGAAATTAGAGTGGCATTAATGCGTGCGCGCGCTGGAGTTTGAATGAAAGTAAAACCTATATATATGAAGTAAACTCTCTCTTTCTCTCCGCGTGTAACGGGGCCTTTCTCAAACATGTTGGGGATCATGGCCCTCCTTCTATTCAATCTGCATTAGACACTCCTCCCGGTTGCATACAATTGTTCAAATTGCTCATGTAACTTAATTCGCTGTCTATACAGAAGTAAACATACTTCCGTTAAACATACGTCCGCAAAATTACCGTGTTGCAAAAATAAAAGCCACGCTTTACAAAACAGCAAGAAAAATTGTTTCAAAGAGAAAATTCAATCATGGTAAATGTCAAAACAGGAATGTTATTGTGAAGGGATGTATTTGCCTAGGACGGTGAAACTAAAATCTGTATCCATCCCATCTCAACGTGCATTGTGAAATTTTCTCGGAAAATGCCGGTCCGCGTAGTTTACACAGCTTGCATTTCACTTTTTTTTTTTGGTCGACCGTCTGTTGTGCGCACAATGCAAATACGGTGCCGTATTCATTTTGGCACTTGCTAAAGCGTTCATACCAACGGGTGAAATGACATTTGCCCTTTGCAGACACGAGCATTTGTGACGGCGAATTCGTGAAAAAACAAGAAAAGGGGGAAATGCTTCAGCTCAGACAGTTTTAGTGGTCACATTAAACAATGTTTAAAGTCATATGCATAAAGGTGCAGCCCCTGCAATTGCTTGTTCAGGCCACTGCTGACCAAAGGGCATTCACTAGAGGGAGCTCTTGGAAGAGGTGGAAGTAGCCACACTTAACCCCAGCCTGTGTGGCGACCTGCCAATCAACGATGCATATCTGAATAAAATAAAAAATATTTAAAACAGTTACTTCGCCGTATTAGAGACTTTTAGAGTTCGAATAAAGATCATTACTCCATTCGTGAGCCTACTTAACAAATACAACATTCGACCCACAGGAACAACGACTTAACTCCTCCAAGAACTCATGATGCTAGAAAAGAAAAGCTTCAGCGTACAATTAATTATTCATTTCAATCAGAAGTTACGGATATACTGAATGGAGACTATCTGCGATGGTTATAAACCTTTCACACGTTTTGTTATTTCACAACGCGGCTCGTTAAACGGCTCGCCATCTTGCTCGCTCGAGACTCCAAATATAATTCCACCGACGCCTCCGCCGGAGCAAGCGATGAAACGTCACTTTGTTGGGAACTCGTTTGAACACCGAGCCAGCCACGGCAGGGGGGTAAAAAATATCCAATGTGACACCTCGGCATGTAATTACGCTGGTTTAACTCCGTTTAACGTCAGTGCCACTTAATCTCATCCCCGTTCCCAAAAGGGTTTAGCGTTGCGCATGCCGCGGCGTTATTTAATTCCACGTGTTTTAAACGTACGAAAAAGACGCGCCTCCTTATGAAATAACAAGCGCTGTTTTGCGTGAGATTCCGGTGGCACTTTCTTTGCTTTCGTTGCGAGCTCTTTCGCCAAAAAAGGTCAGGTTGAAAGATGCCTTTTCTCCGTTTATTTTAGGTCGCCGCTGAAAATACGCACTTGCTTTGTTGGCGTTTATGGGCAGTCGATGGTTGAAAAGATTATTTTATTTTTACATTTCAGATAGCTGGCTGGGTTTTATTTTTCTCTATGTCTATAACTTTGGCGGCCAGGCAAGAAATTCCCATTTAAACTGGCCCCAAGGAACAGAAATCTTCCAAATCTTGACATTTTTCTACTTTGCATGAAAATCATATTTTTCTGCTCCGACGCTCACGCCTTTTTGTTAGAGGCTTCAGATATCTCCTAAGCCGTCTGGTTTGATATTCTTGAAATCTGTCACAGATGTTCAGTGCACCAACCTCGATCACATTTTCCCCCCATCGACTCCCATTGCCAGTGCTCACCACGCTCAAAAGAACCCGCAACACTGCCCGCTGTGAGCACGTGGCCCTCGTTTCCATCAGACCGCGGTTGAAGGCTTGGCACTGCTTCTGGGGTGGGTGGGTGGTGGGTGGTGGTGGTGGGCTTGTCACTTGCGCTCCTCGGCGACGAACGCGTGCGATTAAAAGGTCCGGCGGCGACTCGAGGTCTAGATGCTGCTCTCCGCAAGGTCCCCGCCGTCCTTCTCCCGGTGGCCGTTGGAGGGAGACTTCCAGGCCGCCATGCCGTTGGTCTCGTTGAGGCGCCGCACCCGGTACGTTTCGTACAGGATGCTGTGGGTCACGTCTTTGAGGTCCTCCATGTGTGACCTTTAGTTGGGGTTCACGGGAGGGAGGGGGGGGGGTCAAGAAGAAGGGAAGCGGGGCATGGGGAGAGGAGAGTCATCGTCCAGCACGATTCTCGAAGGTCGCAGAATCAGCCGGGGGGGGGGGGAGGGGGGGGGGTGTGCGATCGGTAGGCACGTGACGATCCTTTGATTTTCTTGGTTCTTTCAGGTAAAGTCACGTAGAAGGGAAGTAATAAAATAATTCAATAGATATATTAAATAATATAATAATATTTTATTTTGTTCTGTTTTTTATTTACTTTATTTTATTACTTCCCTTCTACGTGACTTTACCGAAAGAACCAAGAAGATGAATCCCTGCAGTCACGAAAGCTTTAAATCGAAAGATCCTTTGATTATTTGATTAAAAATGCCACCATCGAATTGTGTGGGTGAAGGTAGGGAGGTAATTTTGTGTCGATGCGGAGGGGCTACAATAGAGTATGAAAGGCATGAGAGATGTTGAATATGGCGGAGGAGAAGAAGCCGATTTGGGGGCAAGGACTTCAAACAGGAGCGAACTGAAGAGACCAGGATGGGTCTCATTTGCAAGAGTGACCTGGGCTGGTTATTTGGAAGAATCTAACCCTGGAGGTGGCTCACAATGGCCTCCTCTGGACGCCAGGCAATCTTTAACATCCACTGTGAGTGAAGCAGACTACGGTAATAACACCCGCAGAAATAATCAGGGTGCCCGCTGGATTCGAAACCGCGAACCTCTGCAGCAAGCGGAGAATGCGCCACCCACTTGGCCGTGTCACCGGCCACGATCAATGTGAACAACGAATGAGGAGGAGTTCTAAACCCCAGGGGCAACTAAGGAGAGGGTGCGACCACCGGTTGAGTTGAGATGAACTGGCGGTGGCAACAGGGGGGGGCCTGGCCTAATGGAGCCGAGGGCATTGGAGGTGAGCAGAATCAAATAAGAGTCAGTTATCAAAATATAATGAGGCACGGAGGGATGCTGCCCGGTAGAAGGGATGGTGGTAGAAGGATGGTGGTAGAAGGGACGGTGGCTGAAGGGATGGTGGGAGAAGGGATGATGGTAAATTAGATCAGTTCCATATGGAGGTCCTCCGTGCATCATTACACCGGAGGATCGTGAGAGATGGCAGCAGCTTGGGAAGGCCTTCATTTCGTAGTGGATTGACCATGGCCGATGATGACGATGAAGTCAATAAACAGGTGAAATAGACGTGTCCATACATTCATGCATTTGGGCTTCAATCGTCCTGGGTTTGACCAATGTCTCATTCACAATTTGTGCATTCAAAAACATTGTATCAAACATGGTGACACGCTACTTATTTTAGGCTGAGTCAAATTAAGGAGGCCCAAGCACAGTTTAGATAACACGTGTCAATCATGTGCATGGCCTGGGCTTGGTTCTAAACTACAACACCATCACTCGATGTTAAAACAGATCTCCCATATATCCTTAACAGGTTGATAGGACAAGTGCTGTTAGGAGGTGGGTGGCCAGCACCACTCCCAGTCACCTTTGTCTCCCCAGTTCTGATGGGAAGACCCAGGACCAGTTCAAATATTCGTCACTGATGTTGGCCATCAACTGGAATCAAACTCGGAGTGCATTGCGCTCACCACGAACACTACCACTCCCCACATTCTACACATATACACACACCGACAACGATCCCCCGTATAGCCTTAACAGACTGTTGGGGCAAGTGCTGTCAGTGAGCAGTGCCTCTGAAGGCCAGAATGGAACACAATGGAGTGGTTGGCCAGAAACCCAGATACACACACTGACATTAAACACAGGAGCAAATCAAATAATCAACGTTCACTTTTGCAGACTCAGGTCAATAGTTACCACGGATTTATATAAATATTTGGCAATTTTGCCACACCGGTACCTCCACTCACCATGGAAACAGCGAGACTTCAAGGTGTGTTTGACTGGCCCTGAACAATCATCAATTATTTGCATTTTGTTTGCTATCCCCAAGAGGGTCTCCATTCGATACCCCCACTGCAATGATGCTGCGTTTCAGGAACTTAGTCGGTAGGAAGCTGTTTAATATCACGCTGGCTCGTAATCACCACCGGGCTCTCTCTCGCTTTCTTTTTTTAGAACAACAAATGTAATTTTGGCTCGACGACTTAATCCCGCTCGAGCGAGCGCGGCGCTGAGGTGGAACTTGAAAGTGATTGTGGTTTCTTTACCTTATGAGGAGATCTCTCAGCAGGGCAAACTCGCAGTGGTTAATGTTCTCGACTGCAAAACAAAACAAAAACAACGCGGGTTCAAAGAAATGTTGATTTAAAGGCAATTGTAAACAAGGCTTTTGTAAATTTTTATTTAAAGCTTTCGTGACTGCAGGGATTCATATTCTTGGTTCTTTCGGTAAAGTCACGTAGAAGGGAAATAATAAAAAAATATAAAACAATAAAATTCTCACGACGTTTCGACTGCAACACAAGCAATCATCACCACACCTGATGATGATTGCTTGTGTTGCAGTCGAAACGTCGTGATAAAAAAAAATGTCTTCCCCTTCTACGTGACTTTACCGAAAGAACCAAGAATGCTGGTTCAAAGAGTCGCGCGTTAATGGTCATTCAGTGTCAAAATCGGTGAACCGTGTTAACGTCCCCAATTAGGAATACGCTGACGCTCATTGGATGTCGACTGACCGCCATCGGTATCGACGGTGCCATCATCCCGCAGTCTCACCTTATTTGCCGAAAACGCACGCTCATTCGATATTGAATTGCATGCGTTTACCACAGCCAAGGAATCAGGAGCGGTTGTGGTGGCTCAGTAGTTCAGGGGTCAGATTATTCGAGGCAAGAAGAGTTGAGCCACCCCCTCCCACCCCCGTGACTAAACCGTGCTCTACAGCGAAGTGAGCTGATGGTCTGAGCCTGGACACCCAATGACGGCACCAAGACAACATCATAATACTCTACCTCGTCTTTAACTTGGAATCAGACTTATGGTTTTCAGTTGAACCGACACACATGACAGTGTTTGCCGGGAACTAAAAAGTTACAGCCCTAATTACATAAATGAATCGGAAGACAAACTTCAAAAGCAGTCCACGTACGTCATCGAAACCGTCACCGGAAATGGAATCGGAAGAAAAACTGACAACGTGCGTGTACGCCATCGGAATGTGAAAAGGGATAAAAGGCAATTAGGCGGATGTCTTTGCTTTCTTCGGGTTTCAAGTGTCTGTTCGTGGGTTCGCGTTACCTTCTACGAGGCCCCAGCGAGTTTTGCGTCCCAGCACTCGTCTGCCGTTCTCCTGATACTCACGATCGCTGCCCACCACCGCAAATGGAATCTTTTCCTGCGAGAGGGGGGGAACGAAACAGAACGAACGAATGGACGCAGAGACACGGCAATCCCCGTCGTTCGATCTTTGCACAAGAACCTTCTTGTTCAGGGAAAGCATTTTTTTTATTGGCTTTATAATCGGTTTACTAATCCTTTGGCTGGCATACATATCCCTTGTGCTTTGTTTTTACGATGTTGATCAATGTACGCTATTATAACGACTGATCGTCCTATCAAATTACGTAACAACAAACAACCGTGTAAAAAAAACAGAACTGAGGAAGGTCAATTTAACAAAAAGCGTTCTTTGCGATGGGATTTAAATGTGGACACACGCACACGGTCCGGTCATCAAGCTACTGTTGAATGAGGCCCTCTCAATGCCCCACGAGGTTGTGGAGGTCATTTGACCATACTTCAGCCAAAGCCCGTTCAGTGCTGGCTGGTAAAGGCAGGCACGGAAGTTTTGCCGCACTGCTCTCGGTCGACCCATCACGTAGGCCCACCGCAATAGCCTCATAACACCTTGCTTGGCTCGTGCCTCCAATTAACCACCCAAGCAGTTGTCCAGGCTCAACACTCCAAGATCTGATAAGCACAGCACAGTCCGCGTGGCACATCACCGACTGTGAAAACGAAACGCACCCAAATCCAAACGCCCGCTGCAGTGCGAGCGAGAACACCTATTAGCACTGACGCTTCGCACATGGCAATGGTGTCGGCCAATAAACACACGAGGCCAAAATTGTATCCGAAGTGTTGATGTTTAACACATGGCGGCAGTTACTCATTTTGACCAAGAGCAGGTTGCAGGACAGATTCAGGTACCACTTGCCAATGACGTTGTACATACCCAGACATTTCACTTGGGTCATTGGTATTGGAGCAAAGTGCAGAAACCGCAGTTCCAATTTCCCTATCAAGTAGTATTTGAGCCATTCACCAACAAATACACGTACATGCATACGTACAAATACACGTACATACATACATACAAATACACGTACAGACATACATACAAATACACGTACAGACATACATACAAATACAGCCACATACGTACAAAAACGGCGTTAATCGCTTCCCCCGCACATCCAATTAGCACGATTCCTAAGTTCAACATTCATTAGCGCGTCACGTGGGGACGTGTTTAACAATAATCGGGCGCGTGCAGCGTAGAACGAGTGAACTTATACTGGTAGGAACGAAGTGGACCAGACCACCAATAGATTAATGTGTCCGTCCGTCCGTCCGTCCGTCCGTCCGTCCGTGGGAGGGGTGGTGTTGAGGGTGGTGTTGGAAATGAAAGACTACGAGTCTTTAAATCTCACAGCGTTTCTTGTCAAAACAAACACTTTTAATTAACGTTACACTAGAATACAGTAATTTTTTCTTTAACTCCTCTATACCCGGTCGATATCTCTGTACCGGTACTAAGTATTATTCCTACCAACCCACCCCGCAGGGTCCTGTTATTTGAACGGGCAGGTGGGGGGGTGGAGTAAATTGGTCAACGAGGAAAGGCGGAGCATGGCGGTATAGTCGTGAAGACCGCAGTTTTCAGAAAAACCATTCTTCAAATGCGTCTATCTTTTTAAATCCTTTATATTAAGTTCGCTTGCTTGCTTGCTTGCGTGCTTGCTTGCTTGCTTACGACCGTGCAAATCTTTTGGTCGTTTTTTAACCCACTTCCCGTGATCCAATCGAGTTGACATTTTGCACACAGACTCGTTGTGCGAGACAATTAATATTCGTGAAAAAAATTTTACCAAAATTTTACACTTTATAGGACAAAAAAATTATATTTAATTACCAATTGTTTAATACTGCAGACAATCATCTGACCCATAGGTGGCAGCCATCTCAAGCCAGAGGACGAGAGGACTCTAGCCGCCACGCATATAAAGGATTTAGAGTGAAAAACTTTGTTTTTACGGGTTTACTTATTTCACTCCAACACATTCCTCCGGGCTCAGATTTGTTCCAGAGCTGATACGTGTGCTGTGCAAAGACCTTGACCCCCCCTCCCCCCCAGAGCAGAGACACACGTGCAGCCACTTCATTAATTAAATCGCATGAATGTCCTAATTGGCTCGTGATTGAGTACGGGCACCTGCAAAAAAAATACCAACGCAAGTTGCTCCCCGTACCCGGTATTTGAATTCCCTTCCTGTAATTTTAAAAGATCCCCGTGTCAAATTTTTTCTTAATTCAATAACCCCTCCGCCGTACCTACCAGTGATGGCGCTTCACAAGAGATACATAGAGGGCAAATAGATAAGCTGGGAGGGCACTTTGCGTCAGATACTTTATCATACGTGAATAGCAAGAAATGCATTTTTTTTCCCGAGGACGGGAAAATCCACGTAAATTATCCGCGATGGTGAGCGGGGCGAGGCGGGGGGGTAAGCAACGCTAACTCGAAATAAACGAGTGACATAACACACACACACAATACATACATAAATAAATCACGCCTGTCTAAAGAAATTACTCGCTTTCTACGTGGCTGAGGAATTTAAATTGAAGTTGCGATATAAGTTACGGCGCGTCTGTACTTTTCTTTATCAAGGTGGCAATCCTCCATTTGCTGGCCGCACACAAAGGAGCTTTTGCCAGGTGTCTGTGGCAGAGGTGACGTGGTAAAGGCGTAGCGCTGCAAGTGTTTGCTCACGCCACTGCTGACCAAAGGGCCTCCCGCGAGGAGGAACTCTTGGAAGAGGTGGGAGCAGCCGCACTAAAACCCGAGCGCACGCGGCGAGCTGCCGATAAACGAACTATGCGTATCTGTCTTCTTGGTTCTTTCGGTAAAGTCACGTAGAAGGGAAATAATAAAATAATAAAAATTGAATATAATAAAATAATTCTCACGACGTTTCTGCCACAACGCAAGCAGCCGTCCTCAGGTGAAGAACAGGTCTGTCGGGAAGACAGCGTCTGAATGAAACACCCCAGCTTAAATAGACGCTCCAAGTCTGGGGTGTTTCATTCAGACGCTGTCTTCCCGACAGCCCTGTTCTTCACCTGAGGACGGCTGCTTGCGTTGTGGCCGAAACGTCGTGAGAATGATTTTATTATGTTTTATTGCTATTATTTTATTATTTCCCTTCTACGTGACTTTACCGAAAGAACCAAGAAGATGAATCCCTGCAGTCACGAAAGCTTTAAATCGAAAAATTATGCGTATCTGAATCAAATAAAAAAAATACATGAAACAGGGACTTTTATAGTTCGAAAAAGATTATTGCTCCAATCGTGAGCCACCGTAAGAAATACAACGCTCGACACACGAAAACAAGAATTGAACTCTTCTAACAGCTCAGATGCCAGAAAGGGTGGAAGCTTCAATGTACAATTATTGAGTAAAAGGGCCTTCACTTAAGAGTGTATTTTGTGTGTATGTTAGAATTATTTCGCACCGTGCGTTAGGTGCAGGGGAAGGACAACAAACTAAACACAAAAAGTAGTGGTAAAGAAATGAGTTAATTTATATTAAAAAGTGCATAGCTATGGTGGCTTACTAATATCAGCAGGAAAAGCGTTCCAGACAGACACAGAAGCGCATCTGAATGCGTGTCTCTGTTCGATGGTGAGCCAAAAGCCGCTGTGATTTTAAATTTTGGCCGACTATTCCATGCTGGCCAGATGTCTTGGGAGCACCCACACTTTACCTCACCATTACAGGCTAATGAATGCCTGTAATAAGTATAACCTGTAAAAACAAAGTTTTTCACTATAAATCCTTTATATGCGTGGCAGCGAGCTTAATATAAAGGATTTAAAAATATATTCGCCTGTGGAGGACGCTGGGATCGATCCCGCGCCCTTTGGCATGGGAAGCGAGGGCGCTACCAGCTGCGCTACTCCGCCACGGCCTGTGGAGGGGTTACGCTCTGGGCTCTTACACTCTGACGTTCAGCCAAAGCCATGAATGCGTTCTATTTGAATATATGTAAAATACATTTTTTTTGCCTAAAAAGTGTAAAATTTTGGGAATTTTTTTTCACGAACATTAATTGTCTGGCACAACGAGTCTGTGTGGAAAATGTCAGCTCGATTGGATCACGGGAAGTGGGTTAAAAAACGACCGAAAGATTTGCACGATCGTAAGCAAGCAAGCAAGCACGCAAGCAAGCAAGCACGCAAGCAAGCAAGCATGCGAACTTAATATAAAGGATTTAATAAAATAAATGGTACGTGCCCAATTCAATCTGGAGTTTGTCTTTATAGAGAAACGTGACCACATTTATCAGCTGGATGCATCTTAGTGAAATATGTTTTTACACGACCGGGCAGAAGTAAATCAATTATATTTACGAATTAAATGTCTTCATGGGTTCTTGCATTGGAAAAGGGGCGCCTTCCCTTCCTTCCTCTCACACCGCTGGACCGAACGGAAAGTCTAACGGTAAATATCCCATTCGTACGCAACTCCAACATTCCTCGTGCAACTTCGGCAGGTGCGCTGCGCTCAGCTCGGAATGTCCCGCACTCTACAAGGCGGTGAAATAAATTTAATTCACGTCCCATTGATCATTCTGTGCAGGGGAAGCCGTGCCCATCGTTCGTCCGTTATTAAAACAACACAGCCTCGCGGAAAGGCTTGGGCCGTTTCTCCCATTAGCTTTAGAATCTTTGATACATTGCTTTAAATTGTCTATTGGGGGATTTAATGCGCGTGTGTGTGTTTGGCATATACTGCACACTGACTCATAAAATCCTAAAACATTTCTCGTTGCCTTTTGTAACTTTCAGTTCCTAACACACTGTTTGCGAAGGTATGCGTATGCTTAGTTTATCCTCAACGAGTTTTTTTTTATTCGTGGAAGAAGAAAAATAATGATCATTATGCACGTGTGCACGTGTCTTAATGATTGACGGTCAAACATTCCCGCCGAAGCACCACCTGGATGGGCAAGTCCGAGGTAAGTCGCGTTAACCAGCAGCGAGAAGTGACACTGGCATTGCAATGCGTAGACTTTCACGACCAATATTATTCATAATGTGGGGAGCGGGAGTGCAGCGGTTAGCGCTACGAACCCGGCGACCCGAATTTGATTCTCGCCCACGGCCAACACCGGTGACGATTATCTGATATGGCTCCTGCGCCTCCCCTAGGTCGACTCAGGCTCAAATGAGTACCTGGTGCAATGTGTAAACATCGCCACTGGGGAGACAAAGGCGGCCGAGCGTGGTGTTGGCTACACACCCGCTCATGAGTCATGAGGCCTCGCTAACAGCACTTGCCCCAACAGTCTGTGAGGACTATATGGGGGATATATTAAATCTTGATTTGAAGCTTTCATGGCTGCCGGAATCCATACTCTTTAGCTCTTTTATGGTAAAGTCACGTGGGTAGAAATAAAATACCGAAAGAACCAAAGAGTATGGGGGATATATTATTCATAGTTATAGGTTTTTGGGTTTGCGTAAACCATTATAATTTACATGATAGTAAAACACCCTCTCATAAATAATAATAAATAATAATAAATAATAATAAACCCCCCTCTGATCTTCGTACATAATAAGCTCATAATGATGAACTGCGATTAACCCATCTGGTAATATAAACTTCATATTTTCAGCATTAGACCTCCTTTGCCAGTACCAAAATATAATAGGGTTTTTCCCCTTTTTTCTGGTAACAAAACTGAAACGTTTTTACGAGGAATCATGTCTGCATTAATCACAATACTTGTGGTCAAAATGCAAACATAAAACACACTCTAATAATATATGCATTGTCCTTGAAACTGATTGGTCCACACCAGAGACGGCTTTCTTTTGAGCCTCGTCTCAATTGGTGCTTGACCAGATGACGCCAAAAGGCGTACAGCTCAAAGACAATGCACTATGTTTTTGTTGCCAGAAAAAAGGGGAAAAACTCTATTATTATTTCATTTTTTCAGATTAACATAATCCATTCTAATTTAAATCATTGCAATCAACCCCCCTTTAATTTTTGCACCTGATAGGCTCACAGTGATGACATCATCTTGCTCTATTTGAGACCGGAATCAGGAAGACTTGTTCACAATTCGGGCCAATTTCCTGACAAAGCTGGTTGGTATCACCAGCAAAAAGTCGTTACTCAAATTGTAAACGTCATTGGTTTACTCGCCATCATCACACCGATGTGCTGAAATAGTAACTAATTTGCATGCTTTGTTGACTTGAAAAAACCTTACTGATTGCCTGTGTCGGGTGGTGGTGGGTTAACTGCACATTTGTATGTATGCGATCTAATCCAAAAACCTTGTTTATGAATATACACACATATATAGAAAGAGTTGGCAGCAACGGGCAAAGTCGGTGGAGAGAAAATTGCGGCATCGTTTCGGATAATTTAAATGTAGCGAAATGAGTCGTTCCATTTCGCTGTCAATCGAGAGACAGCAGGAGTCAACAGATGTTGTGACTCCACTTTGCTCGATGCTACGAAACATTACAATTAGCTGCATCAGATCATAACGGCTTATGTCAAGTTGTCAACGTGCCACCTTACTATACATAGAGTTCTATTAAAACTCCCTATTAAATACAGCACTGTCATAGTCAGTCTTTTGGTGGGTTACCGACATATTTAATCGTACGCGATGTAACGCAAAAAACTTTATTATGAATTAAAAAAAATTCCTGCGCCTCCGCTTAGCACGATTGGCTACGTACGGCACGAAAGAAGTTCAACATACGTACATAAATACATTTTGATGTGTTTTTTTTTTTACGTTTTTGTTATTACGCTCCCGCCGTAGCTTACCCTCACTTCGGCGTTCTCCAGGCGGCCCTGCTCGTCCTCATCAAACTCGCACTGGGGGTACACGTCAATCCCGTGGGCCACCAGGTCCGCTTGAATCTGCACACAGGTCAAACGTGACGTGATGCAGTGACGTCATTCAACACGAGGTCAAGGGGTCACCGCGGCCAATGCAAATTAGATGCCATCGCACTTTGTTTTGCCATCGCTTTCCCTCCTGCTAGATCCCAATCGTCCAACCCCTCGTTTGTGATCTTACACTGCCTGTCCTACACTGTCTGGCATTTGATCTTTTTAAATCCTTTATATTAAGTTCACTTGCTTGCGCGCTTATGACCGTGCAAATCTTTCGGTCGTTTTTTAACCCACTTCCCGTGATCCAATCGAGCTGACATTTTCCACACAGACTCGTTGTGCGTGACAATTTATTTTCGTGAAAATTTTTTTCCAAAATATTACACTTTTTAGAAAAAAAAAATATATGTAATTACCAATTGCTTAATGGTGGCAGGCAATCATCTGACCCATAGGTGGCAGCCATCTCAAGCCAGAGGACGAGAGGACTCTAGCCGCCACGCATATAAAGGATTTATAGTGAAAAACTTTGTTTTCATGGGTTGATTTTTTACACGCTTTCTAATAACTCACTCTGTATGTTGTCGTATCCTCAAATCTTGTAACTCAATTTTTACCCACTTCCCAATGTGGTATCAACTGTAAAATTGGTATACTTATGTCATACTGATGACAATACTATATTCTATCATTCAAAATTTAAAATATATATTTTTAAACATTATTTTAACATGCTTTCTATTAACTCACTCTTGTCTGTTGTTGTATCCTCAAATCTTGTGACTCAAGTTTTTACCAACTTCCCAATGTGGTATCGACTTCAAAATTGGTATATAGTTATCTCATACTGATGACAATACTATATTCTATCATAAAAAAAAAAAAAAAAAATTTACATTATTTTTTATAAGTTATGTTTCGGCTTGGGTCTAATTGTCCACGCTCAACTTACGTTGGCTGTAAATCACCGTGGCCCCTTACGTTGTGGCAGGCTTCGGGGCCACTTCCTGGAGTCGTGGAGTTCTTCCATTACAAGTAGGGTACATTTCATTAAAGCGTGTTTTTAAAAAAAGTTTTTTTAAATATTACTTATTCACTTTATTATGGCCACTGTTGACAAAAAAAATCTGCACCTATGTTATTGCTCCGAGAGGATCAATTCATGGGCTGAGGTGACTCCCAGTTGGAATCTGAATGCACAGTTTATCGCCGTTGCGCTCTTTGACTCTTGCGCGAGTTTTCTGGTTGTACCGCGTGTTTCGTGATGTCCCATTTATGCACTACACGTGCTGGCAACCTTTTTCAGGAAGTGAATACAGAATTATTCAGTTCCCGAAGAAACTCCCAGCATGTGAGGCGAATTATGGAACATCTTGCCAAAAAACACGCCGTATAACCAGAGAATACATCGGAGACCTCACACTTTTCCGACTGAGCGCTGGGCATTCTAACCACAATGCCATTGGCCTATGTCCATTTTTCAGCCGCACATCCCATATATATTTGTACATTTGCCACATATTGCAGTTATTTTAGACTGAATGGCCATGCAAAGCCTGGCTTCGTAGACAGAAACTTTATTCCAGAGGTATGTATGTTACATTATTTGGCCTGTTTAATATCCACTTCACTTGTCCAATTCATTTTTTTTGTGCCACTTTCACTCACGCTGCACACGTTTCCTTCTCGTTCCACAATTTTCCTGCCATCTGATTCCGCGTGCCTCGGGCATGTTTACCGCGTGCCTCTTTTTAAGAGTGTTTGTTTTGAAAGGAATGGCATTGCCTGTATTAAGTCTGGCGCCGCGAATGCTTGCCCCAAAAACCATGGCGACCCCCAGCGCTGGGTTGACCGAGCTCCAATGTTGACGTTGAAATGAGCGCGCCCTGGCCGCCAAGTTTGGACAACGCAAGCCCAATGCGCCGAACAAAAGTATCAGATTCTGATAGGTCCAGCGTGTTATCGCCACAGCCTCCACGCCGTAAATATTGCCCTCGTACCTTTCAGCAGCAGAGATGCGTTTGATCGTGCACTTAACATTCTTTGTTTGCAATTTTTCTGTCCGTGCAAATCAATCAAAGGAAGCCCCACGAGTCACGGGCAGAGATACCGATCTGACAGGATCCTATCCCAACTATGCACCTTCACGGAAAATACTGCCAGTGGCACTCTGCAGATATATAATCAGTACGGAGCTGTAACTAAGGTACATTTCCCCCGTATAGCTGTACGGACTGTTTAGGAAAGTGCCGTTAAGCAAGCACTGATTAAAGCCATGCAATTTATTTTCTTAAAGGCTGAGCGCAACCCCAAAGGCCCATAATACCAAGTGGCCAAACCAGTCAGCCCTAGTTTGATTCCTGGCCATGGTTAACATCAGTGGCGATTATCTGAACCAGTCCTGGGCTCCGCTAGGTCGACCTATCCTTTAATTAGTTCCTCCTGCACTGTGTAATCACCAGCACTGGGGAGACAACGCAGGCCACACCACCCCCCCCCCCCCCCCCCGTGTACCATTCTGACCCTAAAACGTGCTCGCTAACAGCACTTGCCCTCAATCGTGAGTGTGCGTCCGCGTGTGTGCGAGTTTATGCGCGCGCGTAACGTACCCTCTGCCGGAAGAGATGCCGCTCCTCCAGCGTGAGCGTGTCCGCCTTGGTGATGACGGGCACCACGCTCACCACCTTGCTCAGGTGCTGCATGAACTCCACGTCCAGGGGACGCAGCCTGAGCGCACGGAACAACCGGGGCACGTGAGGGTCGCTCACCTCCTCCCCCGCACGAGACCAGCCTTGCCGAGGGCTTCCATCGCCCGCTCACTCCCTCTCGCTCGGTCACTCACTCACTCTCCCGCTCGGTCACTCACTCTCTCGGTAATTCACTCACTCGCTCGCTCGGTCAGCCCACACTCTTGGTCACTCACTCACTCACTCTCCCGCTCGGTCACTCACTCACTCTCCCGCTCGGTCACTCACTCTCTTGGTAATTCACTCACTCGCTCGCTCGGTCAGCGCACATTCTTGGTCACTCACTCACTCGCTCTCTCGCTCGGTCACTCACTCACTCTCCCGCTCGGTCACTCACTCTCTTGGTAATTCACTCACTCGCTCGCTCGGTCAGCCCACACTCTTGGTCACTCACTCCCTCTCCCGCTCGGTCACTCGCTCTCCTGCTCGGTCACTCACTCTCTCGGTAATTCACTCACTGCCACTCAATGCAGTAGCAGATCCAAGGGGGAGGAGGGTAATGTGGGATAAAATAAAACAAATATGAAACGGTGACTTCGCCGTACGAGTGACTTTTTATAGTTCGAAAAAGATGATTGCTTTATTAATATCGGACCCTATTTAAAAAGCTTGACGTTCTGCGACCTTGCGAAGTTTCTATTCTATAGACCCAGCGAGGGCTAATTAGTCATGGAAAAGCCCTCTGAGGTTCATGAATACATAAACTCATTTCTGTAAAACTGCTTTTAGTGCTTAGTTTGTTGTCCTTCCCCCGCACCTCCGATGAGCACGGTTGGCTACGTAGCGTGCGGAAGAAGTTCAACGTACATAGACACACATACGAAAGCGACCGCTCCTACTGGCGACGGCGAGCGCCCCGGGGCCACCGTGGTGGCAGTGGAAGCCTCGCGTGCCAGGCCTCAGGGACCCTTGGTGGGGCCCAGCGGCAGCAGCAGCAGCATCTGGTCTCGCCTGCTTATTTTATTGCCATATCCATTTTTGACATTTTATTTTCGCCCCAGAATTCGCGACCCGGGTTGCATGCCTTCGAATTTAATTTAAACATCGCCGGTGCTTTTCCAATTCTCTGTGTGTTTTTTTTCTTTTTTCTTTCATTCACCTCGATGCAAGCCTGTTGAGAGAACGTGCCAATTGGCACGTCCAAGCACGGACATTTAACTGCCTGTTCGCCGTTTGCCAGAAAGATGCACTCATACATTACCTTAGGAGGGGAAATCACAAGTGACTGACTTATATTACGGCGCGCGTACAAGGTGCCAATGCACACAAAAGGAGCAGCTGTTCAAATGTCCGCGTGTGATATCCTTGCCGAATAAACAAATACATAAATATTTCCCTTTGTCTTGCAAGTGTCGAACTGCATTTTGATGAATCGACTCGCTCTTCGTCGTTGGACGCGAGCGTTCGGGATCTTTACACGTAAATCCACTGCTTACGGATCGCACGGTAAATTGAAATGGCAGGATGGATGACGTGCGAAATCGTCGCGCAAGTCCTGCCTGAGAATTGTTACCGACTGCATTTGTGAGGCAATACCAAATATTTAATAAGCGAAGCAGTTCGCTTGGATTTGTAATGTTTGATATACAAAGCGGATACCATTTTATGTTTACATCAATATAAATGCCACGGGAATACATTTTCTGCAGGGGATGGGAGGGATGGCGCAGTGGTTTATCGCACCGCGCTCCAAACCCATTGACCCGAGTTATTTAACTGGGTCCCGAGCCAGCTTTTCACCAACCTGCACTGATCAACACGGTGAACAGTGGCAGCTCCCGCAAAATCTCTCAGGGGAGGCAAATAAGGATAAGGTCCACCAATGCAATGGATACATTAACAGCTTAAGCATGTAAAGGCAACTTCACTACTTTAATATTAATGAAAAATAAAGTGACTCTTACAATACATCTCCTTGTTTGTTTCTTTACTCACTATTATTACAATCCACTCAGTTTCTTTTATTAAAGATTCCACTAGGTGGCGACAAATAATATTGTTGACTGAAACGTGCTTACGTCATCATGGTGCGAGCCCTCCCGGAAGCCATAGAGAATGCATTGCAGCGCTTGCCTTTCGAAAAAAAGCATCTTTGAATGTAAGTCTATGGGGCCAATCGGGGCGATTCTCAGCCAGAGTGAAATCGCCCAAAAAGAGGCGGTACTCCACAGAACGTGACATGACGCTGATTGGACTATATCCAGAGGCTGACAGTGACGGCTAGCGTGACTCTGTGGTTGAATGACATTGGTGGTGCGTCGCCCAATCGCCCTAATGAAGAAACCGCCCCTGATGGTGAAGTATGGTCAAACAACCCGTAACAGCCTACACTGATATTCTTAGGTGTTTTCGGTAAAGTCACGTAGGTAAAACATCAAAATTAATAAAATAATAAAATAAAATAAAGATCACGACGTTTCGGAGGCAACACAAGTCTCCGTCATCAGGTGGGACAGTCACAGCCAGATTAGCTGCATCAAGTGAGGCAATGATTCAAGATGTAATCCCTTAAAAGCGAGTTGAGGGGGGAGGAGAGGGGGGGGGCTCATCAGAATGTGGTAGCCAATGAATGGAAAGTATCGGGAGAGAGGGGCCAAAAAAAAAGGGATTACATCTTGAATCATTGCCTCACTTGATGCAGATAATCTGGCTGTGACTGTCCCACCTGATGACGGAGACTTGTGTTGCCTCCGAAACGTCGTGATCTTTATTTTATTTTATTATTTTATTAATTTTGATGTTTTACCTACGTGACTTTACCGAAAACACCTAAGAATATGATTCCTTGCAGTCACGAAAGCTTCAAGTCTAGCCTACACTGAGTGTGGAGGCCTTCATCCAGCAGTTGAAGGGCAGTAAATTAAATCTATCATTAACCGATATAAATTCGGTGCAATCACATGCGATGACAGGCCATTTTTAGTGTGAGCCATTACACGGCAGCTCTCGATTTTACAAAGGTGTGCAGACTATGAATATTAGCGTTTACATATACTGGCAGTCCTCGACTTACGATGGTCCGACTTATGATATTTCGATCTCAGGATGGCGATATCGATTTGAAAAAATTGTAAAATATTTTACATTTCGCGCAGCAGGCAAACGCAGCAGCGTACGAGGTATGATACTGTACGTTGGGACGCTGCCGGGATGTACTGTACGCGTATAGTTTATACAGTACGGTACTGTAAATTGCTCTGTTTTGCTAAATTATCACCATTCTTTAAGACTCCTGGGTAGGCTAGGCCATTTTCGACTTACGATATTTTCGACTTACGATGGGGTCGTCGTAACGCATCTCCATCGTAAGTCGGGGACTACCTGTATATAAATTCAATATACTAAAAGAAACACTCACACACTAAAGCCACCCTGCACAGTAAGCATAGGAGAATGCTATCGCTATCGCGGCTTATAAAACAGTCGGGCGTGCGATAGGCTCGGCGAAAAAAAACTCTCGCTTAAAGGGCTCCATTTATTCCGTGTCGAGAGCGCGATGCGATTCTCATGTCAGGGCTTCAGGGTGTCACGGTCGGTGTTAGGCACGTTTAGCCCTCGTCAACTCGAGATTTTAGCCCGTTGTCCTTCCCCCGCACCTCCGATTAGAGCGGTTGGCTATGTACGGCGTGAATGAAGTTCATCACGGACACATACATACATCGTTATAGTTAACATTCTCTTGGACCTAACCTGAGCTCTTCTTTGACTCCCACTCCATCATTAGTCTCGACCATGGTCCATCCCTTCTAGCCATAATACATCCTGCCAAAGCACACCTACTGTATTAATTTTTCGATTTAAAGCTTTCGTGACTGCAGGGATCCATCTTCTTGGTTCTTTCGGTAAAGTCACTACTGTATTAATATTAAGGCTATAAACTTGTTGTTTTACAACGAAGTCAAATGTGTCTTGCAATCAAGAAACACAATGTGGTTAAACGCCACATCGAGTAAAGTTTATATTTCAAGTAAAAGAAGACGTACGCTGCCAAAGAAGTTCAACATACACATATATTTACGGGGAGTTTTTTTTTTTCAAGTCTGTCACCCCATCGTCGACAACGGCTCCGGCATCGGACGGGGCCAGCGATCCGTGACGAGGCGACTTCTCACCACGCAGGCAACTTCCCGTGCCGAGTGTTGCACGCGTGGGCCGCCGCAGAAACGAGCGCAGGCCCGTGCCAAAATGTTGAAAGCCCCGAACAAAAAAAAAAGACGACAAAAAAAATATCCATTCCCCTCCCCCCGCACCCTCTGGCGAATGAAACACTCTTGATGCATTCCCACGAGGGTGGTTTTGGCCATACTTCACCACCGCTGGTCCGTTCGCGTCGCGGTGAAACAAGGGATTTTAATATACTGCCCTCTGCTGCCCACCACGTGGCTTCATAGCCTCTAATGCACGGACGGTGCCCCTGCCAGGCACGAACCAGGCTCGTGCCTGCTTGGCTTGTTTTGGTTTCAAAATCAAAAGCTTTAGCCCGTTGTCCTTCCCGGTGAAAAGTCCAGAAGATGATCTGCTCCCGCATACTGACCTGACAGGCGCAACGATTGATTCTCTTCGAAAATTCTGTCCATAAAACTTGTCCCCATTGTTGCTTCGCTCATTAATGCTTGCTTGTTATAATACTTTGGTAAACAAAAAAAAAACCACACACACACATTTATTGAAAACGATTCCAGAAGACGTCAATGACATTTTATGTGGTCTGGGCTAGATGGATGGTCGAGTGGGTTGATGCGTTTGCCAATGAGGCCGAGATTACGAAGGCTAAGTCACTTGAATTCGGCTTCCAAGCAGGAATAAATGCAGTGCATTATCAAAGCCAGACAACGTGTGATTGTGAAGCGAAATGCTAAAGACTGCGATATAATTTGAAAGAGGGCATTTTTGCAAGGGTCACGGCTCAAAGTGGTCAAATTTGAAAAATTACTCCGAGTAACCAAAATACTGCAATGAAATAAACCATGCAATTGGATGTTACGCGGCATTTTTTGGCTGTTATGCGTCATTCATTCGTTTGATTCCAGGCAGCCTGGGATTAAACGTATGAAATACAGAGTTGGGTGAGAACAGATGTGTGTGCTTTTGAAAAGCCGACCTTCATAATGAAAAGCAGATTTACCAATGTCCCGACAGAAAATTGGTTTTAAATCTGTGTACATTACCTGCTATGGCTTATGGATCGGAAAACATGGACAATGACTGGGAACAAGAAGCTGCCAATGGGTGCTGAAAATCCATGGAGAGCTCTAAGCTTGCAATTACAGGCAGATGCACACGTGGATCAGAGAAGAAACGAAAGTTAAACATGACAAGTAAGCCCACCGTTCACGTTAAGAGACGGGGGCTTGGACCAGTGGTCGGGACTAATGGTGGGAGTGGCAGCCGCAAGAGCGAATAAACCCGAGGGCTTAACGTCCTCCTGCGGAGACGGAGCGATGAAATCAGCCCGTGCGCGAGAGCCGGATGAATTTCTCACGATTTACGAGCGGCAGGCTGTTAGCACGGCGGCGGATGGCGAGAGTGGCTGATGAAGGCGAACCGATGATTTTGCAGCAGAAAATAAATAAATCCGAAACGTGAAAATTTGCAACTCGTAATCCACTCACGAGTGGCCGCTGGGCGGGATGCAGTAGATGCAGCAGTGCACACGCGTGTCGGGGATGTGGCGCTTGCGGGTGATGCGCACCTCTTCGCGCAGGTACTTCTCGTACTGCTCGCCGATGTACTTGAGGATGGGTTCCCAGCTGCGGGCACGCAACACCAGGGAGGGGGGGGGGGCAAAGCGGACGGAGGGGGTGGGTCACATCCCTGTCGTTTAACAACATATTTTACTGAGATGCATCCCGCTGATAGATTTGGTACATTTTCTCTACAAAGACAAACTCCAGAATTTATTGTGCACGTACCTGTTTTTTTCATTACAAGCATTCGTTAGCAGATTGCTTGTAGTGGGGTAAAGTGTGGGTCGGCCAAAATGCATCCTGGCAACAGCTTTTGGCGATCAATCGATCAACGGCGGTCACTGCATCGCGCGCTTTCAGATGCGCTTCTGTGGCCGTCTGGAACGCTCTTCCTTCTGATAATTGGAAGCCACTGGAGCTACGCACTTTTAAATCATCTAGATTGAAAACTCATTTCTTTCGAACTGCTTTTAATGTTTAGTTTGTTGTCCTTCCACCGGCACCTCCGATTAGCACGGCTGGCTACGTACGGTGCAAAAAAAGTTGCTCGAACTCATCACCACTGTAGACAGTGGTGGTGAAAGGTCCACATTCGTGTGGAAGAGGATAAAGACGAGTTTATTTGTTTAAGCAGGTGAGAAATCAAAAGAGAGATGACAAGTGGAAAACAAATAAAAGTTAATAACAGCAATGAAGTGAATAGAAATCGGCGCAAAAAAACAACTGCGTCTTGTGAGAAGAATCTAAAATATTGCACACGGTCAAATAACTATAAAATAGCAGATTGCCTGTGATGGAAGTCATGTCATCTGTTCTATCTCGTCCCATTTTTGCTGCATTGGCCTCAATGTAACATTTGCATATAATTTGCATTTTATATACATAAATAGTACTCGATTGATCGCAGTATTACACATGTATGATTTGCTTCATGCATCTTGATCGATTCTAATCGATGGATAATCATGCAGTGGAAGTATTCACGAATTACATTTTGTAAGTTGCTTTAAATAACGTTTAATTGTTTTGCAACTATTAACGTCTTTGTGACTAAAAAAAATATTAGAAAATATAATGGCCTAAAAATATATAAAGGCTTAGAGTGAACAAAAGGAAGACTTTGCTCACAAATATTAAATAAACTCAACGACTCTGGAAATACTTTCCTGTTGTTATTAAATGTATTACTATTATTACCACCATTCGCAAGCTGCTCCTCGATAACACCACGTTCAATTTCGATTTAAAGCTGTATTATTAAATTATTTTATTATATTATTATATTATTTTATTATGTTTTATTTTTATTATTTTATTACTTCCCTTCTACGTGACTTTACCGAAAGAACCAAGAAGATGAACACCACGTTCATTCGCCTGGCATGCAGGGGTCACGGGTTCGATCCCAACCCCGACGCCTGTATATTCGTAGTGCGCATGCGCTTAGAGTATTTGGCTGCTGTAAATTTCCACATGATAGGTCGTTGAGCTATCAGTTGTGGCCAGGTCGCTTCTGAAAAAGAGCTACCTAGCTCAGTGGGCTTTACCTGGTAAAATAAAACATTGTTCAGTTTTATTTCGATTTAAAGCTTTCGTGACTGCAAGGATTCATCTTCTTGGTTCTTTCGGTAAAGTCACGTAGAATGGAAATAATAAAATTATAAAAATAAAACATAATAAAATAATTCTCACGACATTTCGGCCACAACGCAAGCAGCCGTCCTCAGGTGAAGAACAGGTCTGTCGAGAAGACAGAGTCTGAATGACACACCCCAGGCTTGGAGCGTCTATTTAAGCTGGGATGGAGGGGGGAAGAGCGCCTTGACAAAATAATTTGCATATCAAGAGGAATTTTGCATATTTATGGGAAATGCAGATATGCGTAGGGGGTTATTTTATTATGTTTTATGTTTATTATTTTATTATTTCCATTCTACGTGACTTTACCGAAAGAACCAAGAAGATTGTTCAGTTTCAGTTAAATTTGTAGTCCAATAACTTGTTCAGAAGGAGAATTTGGGGTCGTACCCTTCTAAAGTGAGTCATCAGCCCCAGAGGGCCTCTTCCTTTATAGATAGGCGAGTACAGCCATGCGTGTAGTGAGCATTCATGTCATTTAGTGAATAATAACAACCATACGACAGCACAGTTTGCCTTCAGAGTCTCGCTAACTGAGGCTCAGACGCTCACGCACGAGTGCATCCTGGCATCGTTAGCACAGGGTGTGTTTTTACAGCCAAATGCAAAAGTAAGAATTCAATTGCCGTTAAATTCTCCATGTCGGTTTCATATGGAGCGCACACATGCACTTTTGAGTGTTCCGTAATCTACAAAGGCGTTTCAGATTATTGCACAAATACAACATCACATCGCGTGCCGTTTGCAAAAACCTTCAGGCTAAGCTCTCCGATGTGTTTCTGGAGAGTACGTCAGTCTGCACGATTGTCCCGAGTTTCGCTCCGCACGCTGGGTGACTTTCAGTTCACGCGGAGTGACACGGAACATTATCATTGGCAAACAAACTGAAGCGCCCGGCCTGTGGAGCAGAACGACGGACATCGTGCCGAACGACGCGCTGCGGCACCCAAACGCATCGGAGAGTATGAAATCCTACGCCTGAATTATTCTGCGTCGAATCTTTTTTTTTCTTAGAAGCGGTGATAAAAATTTTACTTGAAGAATTACGCACCCATCAGCCTCTCAGTTCATGTCTATAAACTGTTCACGAAGATCATTGGGGACAAAATAACTACAACATTAGAAGCCAGCCAACCATGGGAGCGAGTCGGGTTTAGGAAATGTTTTTCTACCATCAACCACATACACGGTTAAAAGTAAAGGTGCAGCCATGAAATTGCTTGCCCACACCACTGCTGGCAGACGGAAGCTCAAAAAAGAGATCCCCTCCGGCCTGTATTTGACCGACTATTTCATCACATTGTCTTCAAATCTGCTAATGATGTGTATATAATAAACAACACCAGCAGAAGCACAAAAATACATAATAATATTATCCACGTTTGAAGAGCAGACAGAACCACGATTTTCATATGTCTGTTGAACTTCTTTCGCGCCAGTACGTAGCCGATCGCGCCAAGGGACTCACCAATTCTCGTTGTTGATTTGGTCGCCGAACCCGGGCGTGTCGATAACGGTGAGCTTCATCTTCACGCCCTTCTCCTCGATGACTGCGCCGACGGCACAACGGCGAACGGGGCGGGGAGCAGAGCACACGTCAGCTTGCGCAGGCCCCGACGGGAACACACATTCTATAGGCCCCGCGGTGCGAAAGGGTCAGCGAGGCAGGGCCGTGATTTCGGCTATCACCGTTTTCCGGTTGAATTGAGCGCCGCTATTCGGCCCCGCGGGGCCAGACTTTTCTGCTCGGCAAAACGTCCATCGTTCGCGCGAAGGAACGCTCCATGCTCAGTCGAGGAGTTATTCAGTTTCGTGATTGCGTTCTAGAGGAAGTGTTACGCAACACAATTTGTTATGAGGTCTGTCGTACAATGACTTTCACCGCGGTCTTCTAAAACAGAAAATGTGTGCGAAGAATTTTGCAAAGATTTCAAGGTCACTCATCTGATAAGAGAAGGATATTGGAACAAATTACGACTGCACCATAATACTAATTGCTTTGAATGTGTTTTTTTAAAGGTGCATTATAAGACGTATGATATTTCAGTTGCACGTGCTGGAAGCTTTTTCAGGATTTGAATCTCGCAGCACACGGAGTAAGACTTGGGATACCGTGCAGAACGCCACGCGGTACAACCCGAACACACACATCACAGAGATAAACAGCGACAACAACAACTGCCGTTCACCACGAAGTGACGGTGACATCACCACGGCGCCTGTGCCAGGCTAGGTGCCACGTGAAGTGTGGGAGGCTGGCTGCTGGCAGGAGGTCACGGGACAGAGCCACGTGTTATGGCTTGACTGGCTGAGATGACTCCACAGCAAAAGTGCGCAAACCCACAGAGTGGTAATAACTTTGATTGGCTTATGTTAATATCAGCCAAGTATTTGCAAACCCTCCCCCCATCATCAAAGTGCACTGGCGAGGTGGGGGTGGGGGCAGAGCCCCAGGTATTAATTAGTTTTCTCGGATTTCCAACCAAGAAAAAGGCATTTAAGCGTGCGGAGGCAAAGTTAGGCAAATAAATGAAACAATGCACCACGGTCCAGAGGCTAACCCAAGTTGTGGTGATACTGCGGTTAGTCTTGCTGGCAGCAAGCGCAGAAATAGACGGCCTGGAGACAATTCTGACTCGGCTATGGAGTCTTCATCTTGACAGCAACCAACGGCCCCTTGGGACCGGTGAAGATTTTTACACTCATTGGCCAATTGACATGTTTATGATTCAGTCTTTCTAAAACAAAACAAAGAGTAACTTTTTTACCAAAAAGCACATCAGTGTACGTTACATGCACTGTGCGTGACACGGTCTGTTTTCTGTTTTCCATGAAATTTTACGTCTCAAGGCAAGGCCAACATTTGATGAGGTTAAAAAGGTTACACGCTCCATATGGTACGAAACAGCACCGCGGGGAGAATTGAAGCTGTTCGATATTAAAACAGTTGTATTGATTTTTTTTAATGCAAAAACACAAAGTGCACGAGTTCATGTCATGCGCATCTTCCTCACAAGGATTTTTTTCTGTTTACTTTAAAATCACGGTTGCCAAGCACAGGCCTAAAGAAGGCCCAAAGTGCCAAGCAGATGAAGAGAAAGAGTAATTTTGGTCGAGAGAGAGAGTAATACATGACATACTACATCGCACGTACATGTTATCACTTAGAAATTGTTATTATTTTTAAAATGTCTTTTTTGTTTCACAAAACTCAATGGGCACGCATCTTCATCATAATCGTCGTCGCCAGCCATTCTCAATCCACTGCTGGATGATGGCCTCCACATGCCGTCCCAAGTCCGCCCAGCCCTGCGATGCCGCACTCCATCTCACTCCTGCGCATTAACTAATTCCATCGCTCCGTCTCTCAGTGTTGCCGTCGCGTTGGGTGGATTCTTCACATCGTGATCTTTTTGTTTGTTATATACAGGGTGCTTGAAAACATTTTAACACCTTCTGAGAATTTACAACAACACCACAGGAAATGTGCCTCCGGGCTCTGGAGACCACCTGGAGAAAATTCCAGGGCGTGTGTTGACAATGTTGGCGAACAAGTGGAGACTCTTTGACTTTTTGAAGCTGTTAACGTACATTTGTGACCATGTTACGGTGTATATTGTCCGTTCTTTTTGCCATTAAAAATGATAGTCCCATGTAAGTGTTAACATATACGTATATATGGAAGAGGAGTAAATTGTCATCAAACGTTCGCTAATTAAGTGGCGAAACACGCGGCCCACGTTAACGACGCCTATACGAGACCTACACGGGTGGGCGTGTGTGCCGAAGACCTCGCACACTGGCACGAGAGCAGGCTATTTTACACGTCGTCGGGGTAACTGATCAAATTTTACCCTCTGCGCTTAAGTACCACGTGCACGGCAAAGTGCTTGAGAACCGACACCCCGTGCAATCGCAGCGAATTACTTCGAATGCATCACATTCAAAGCAAGCGAGCTTAGACATATTTTAATGAGAGCCCCAATCGGACCCAAGTCTAATTTTTCCACGGCAAGTGCGCGCACCCAACTTGTAGCGAAATGACGCTTAGAGGGGCACGCGTATTCAGCGTCCCCAGAGAGGGTCTCCTCTTCGAGGCCGAGATGACGAGGGGCAAGATTGCACGCGTTGGTGGGACGGCGGCTGCCTGTCGCCAATAATTTCGCGGAATGATAACTATACATTCCGCCCCAAAAACGGAATAGGCAATTATCTGTGCGTCCGAGTTCGATTCCCGCTCACGGCACACGCGAGCAATAATTATCTAAAGCAGTCCTGGGCCTCCCCTAAGTTGACTCGGTCTCAAATCAGTACCTGGTGTTATGTGCAAACATCCGGTGACCTGGAGGTGGAATCCCCCCCGGTCATTTGTACGTTGAATTTCTGTCGCAGCGTACGTAGCCAACCGCGCTAATTGGAGGTGCGCCTGTTAGCGAGCACCTAGGAAGGATTGCACGGCACACGAGGGGGTGGGTGGCCAGCACCACACCTGGCCGCCTTTGTCTCCCCAGTGGCGATATTTACATACCGCACCAGGTACTCATTTGAGAGTCTTAGTCGGCCGATGGGAGGCCCACGCCCGGTTCAAATATCCGCGACCGATGTTTGTGGTCGTTAGCGGGAATCGAACTCTGGTCAGCGGGTTCATAGCGCTACCCTGACGCTCCAAAGACAAAGTCAAAGATCCTTTATTATAGCCTTAACAAACTGTTGGGGCAAGTGCTGTTAGCGAGCACCTATGAAGGCCAGAACGACACACGAGGGGGTGGGTGGCCAGCCTCATGCTCAGCCACCGTTGCCTCCCCAGTGGCGATGTTTACACACCACACCCGTGCGCGAGAGCCAGATGGATTTCTCGCGCCGCGGGGTTTACGAGCGGCGTCGCTAACATCGGTTGGCGAGTGATGTCAGAATCAGTCCTGGGCCCCCTGCCGCGCACTGACTCGGCGTGGTCGCCCATGAGCGCGGGTTGGTGGGCAGGAAGGAAGGGAGGCCCCATGACCGCTTCTCACATGACTCGCCGTTGACGTTTGTCCTGGCTGGGAGTCGAATCCAGGTCGCAGGGGTTCGTAGCACCACACTGACCATGGTGATGAAACATGACATGGGAAAGGCCTCATCCAGCAGTGGGTTGACAGAGCGCTGTAATGTATTCTACGATAGTTACTGTATAACTCGAAAAATCAGCGGAAAGTGCCTCTCCAAAGAAGAGATGTGCCTATGTTGTGATCTTTGAAGGGGCCTCGCACAGCTATGCATGACTGTGATTGGTTGCAAATTTGAGGCCAATTGGCTGCTACTGAAGCGTGGCTCCTCCAAAAGCCACATCCGATAGAGACATTTGAAAAAGGCCCAAGAGATTTCAGCAGTCAGATCTCACCGCAGCCAGTAACAAAAAGTTATTTCGGCATCGTCGGCCCAGTGTTCCTAGCATTATTAACCTTCCAACATTGTCAACCCAACAGCATTGTCACCCTCCCAGAAACGTAAGCCTCTCAGGATGGTCATCCTGCCAGCATGGTCATCCTGCCAGCATTGCCACCATACCATAATTATAATCTCAGCCACCTGAGCACCGCGAACTCACCGTGACTAACGGACTGGATCTCCACCGTCTTGAGGATTTTTTCTTGGTAGTTGGGGGTGCACGACTTGCGGCTGACGCGGGACTTGAAGAGTGTGTTGACCAGCGTCGACTTGCCCAGGCCGCTCTGACCTGTGAACACAGACGCCGGCGCGTGTGAGACACATCGCAGATTCATACCCGTCAGCCCATGTGTGTGTGTGATTGCGTGTCTTTGGGGAGCAGTAGTGGAGCGGTTTAGCGTGCTGTGCTGTGAACCCAGTGGCCCGAATTCGATTCCCACTCACGGCCAACACCAGTGACAATGATCAGAACCGGTCCTGGGCCTCCCGTAGGTTGACTCAGCCTCAAATGAGTACCTGGTGGAGGATGTGAACATCGCCACTAGGGAGACAAAGATGGCCGGGCGTGGTGTTGACCACCCACCGCCTTCGCGCGCCTTGCCAGCCATCATAGGTGCTCGCTAACAGCACTTGCCCCAACAGTTTGTCAAGGCTGTATGGGGGGCGGGGGGGGTCTTTGTGCGACTTATAAATAAACTGCTTACGGGAAAGCCGAATGCTACGAAAACCATGCGGTGGGCAACGTTGCGGTCCATAATAACCGACGATGCACGGCACAACGAACCATCGTCCATGCGTCTCTGGTTCTGCGAAACCTCAGAGAGGGTATCCACGGCCATGGACAACCGTATACGTGTGCATAACGGCGCCGCGTATAAAATGTTTTTTTTTATTGCGTGCGGATCACTGATGTACGATGTGCTGCGTTCGCGTAATTGTCCGCACATGTTATTCATTTCCAAAGGGAGTGCTGCCGAGGCCAGAACGGAAAGGAACGCGCTTCGGGATGAATTTGAATACGCGTGGACGACGCTCCTGGGACGTTATTAGTTCTCTGCTCGATGTTTATTCACGGGGGAGTTGTCCGAGGATGGAGGTTGGGTGGGGTGGGGCGGGGGGAGGCAGTCCCGGGGAGCCGTGGGTAAACAGAGGACTGCTGGCTGGGGCACCGCAGCTGTGGTACGAACACCCGCAAACAATCGGGACAACTGCCTCCTGCAGGAAAGATTTCGATCGTCACGCCTCAACATTCATTTTTTTATCCCACTTGCAAGATGCATTTCCCCTTCATTCGCACCCGATATGAACGTTATTCATAATGTGCCCTTTGCCAACTCCCTTAAAACGTCTCCCAATCTAGCGCCTCTTCAGCACGTGTGTTTGTGGTCACGTGTGTGGTCACGTGTGTGTGTGGTGGGGAGCGGTGGTGTAGCGGTTAGCGCGCTGCGCTATGAACCTGGCGACCCGGGTTCGATTCCCGCTCACGGCTAACACCAGTGACGATTATCTGAACCGGTCCTGGGCCTTCCCTAGGTCGACTCAGCCTAAAATGAGTACCTAGTGCGGTGTGTAACCATCGCCGCTAGGGAGACAAAGGCGGCCGGGCGTGGTGTTGGCCACCCACCCCCTCGTGTGCCGTGCTGGCCTTCATAGGTGCTCGCTAACAGCACTTGCCCCTACAGTCTGTTAAGGCTATACGGGGGATCTTTTGTGTGTGGTCACGTGTGTATGGGGAGCAGTAGTGCAGCAGTTAGCACGCTGCACTCCAAACCCGGCGAGCCGAGTTCGATTCCTGCTCACGGTCAACACCAGTGACGATTATCTGAACTGGTCCTGGGCCTCCCCTAGGTTAACTCAGCCTCAAATGAGTACTTGGTGCGGTGTGTAAACATTGCCACTCGCGAGACAAAGGCGGCCCGGCGTGATGCTGCCCACCCACCTTGTGCCATGCTGGCCTTCAGAGGTGCCCGTTAACAGCACTTGAAAAAAATATATATTACGGCTATAAGGCGGATCTTTAGTCTTTGCGCTAATGCCCATTGCCGATCGTAACCTTGCTGAATCTCAAGATCGGTTGACATGAGCGTCCTGCATTGGGACGTTGGGCTCATTTTGGTGTGCAGGAGGAAACTTGGAGAAAACCTTCCAAACACAGCGACGGTGGTCGCGATCAGAACTCCACACAGATACACTTAAAAATCCATTGCAGGACTAAAACGTCCTGGTCACTTTTCAGCCAAGCTTACAACACCCGGTATTCCCAGGTGGTCTTCCCATCCAAGGAATAACTAGAATCGACCCAGGTTTGCTCTCCGAGATCTGACAAGATTGTCAGTGTGATTTGGTCTTCGGCAAATACCACACAAATAGAGAAAGGTTAGCGACCTGTACGTATGCATGTTGAACTTCTTTCGCACTGTACGCAGCCAACCACGCTAATCGGAGGTGAGGAGGGATAGGACAACAAACTAAACACAAAAATCAGTTCTAAAGAAATGAGTTTGTCAACCTACATGATTTAAAAATGCACAGCTCCACTGACTTCCTAATATCGTAATTGAAGAGCGTTCCAGACGGCCGCAGACGCGCATCTGAAAGCGCGCGATGCGGTGAACCGTCTTTGTTCGACGCCTAACCAAAAGCCCGCTGCGAGGATGACCGGAGTTCGCGCGATAGTTTACATCCGACGTTTGCGCTCCCCGTGCCGAAGCTTCTTCAGTTCTATCTATCCCAACTCAACCTCCGGAAGAAACTCCCGGCGGCATGTGGAGCGGAACGTCGGACATTCCCGCCGAACAGCACGCCGGGTACGGCTCGACAGCGCGCCGATTTGTACGTCGCGGCGCTGCTGCCCGCCGTGACCCGGCGCCAACGAGCAGGAGCCCACCGTGTGTGGGCTTGCAACAACGGCACGTGACACGGGGCCGTGTTGGTCCTGGCTGCCTTCAACGGCCCACGCCTCGAGACCGTTCGGAGCGTGAGCTGCGAACGTGCAGCATTCCAGTGCCGCATCGTGGGGGAATATTACTGGCGCCATACATCGGCGGAATGCAGAGGTCGCAAACGGGTTTTGATTCCTTATCCGTACCCGGCCGCACCAGGGTCGTAAATGGGTACCCGTACCCGTACCCGGCCGGGTATGGGTACCCGTTCCCTACCCGTACCCATACCCTACCCGAAATGAGTGACAAACGGTTACTCACCAGTGACTCACGGCCTACCCGTACCCGTACCCAGCCGCACCAGGGTCGCAAACGGGTACCCATACCTGGCCGGGTACGGGTAGCCGGGTATCGGGTAGGGTACGGGTATCGGGTACCCGGTTGCGACCTCTGGCAGAATGGTGCAAGAGATTGGTGCACCGCGAGCACGCACAGCTCTCCGTGTTCATGCCGTCCCCCCCCCCCCCCCCCCAAGGCTCTGACAGCCGCACTGGCGTTCCGAAGATTCTCAAAGAGTTCACCGTTAAAGCCCCCAAAGGCTCACAGGGACACGCAAATGAACACCTAGGATTCTCAGGGTTCACTGTAAATACCCGAGGCTCAACGATCCAGACTAATGTACACTTCACGATCGTTATGGTTCAGCGTTAATGTCGAGGGGTATCGAACCAAACAAATATACATTTTGGAATCTCATGGTTCAGTGTTCATGGCTAAGGCACACACAAGCTGACTAAGGCACCCATACGAGTAGTATTGTTCAACGTAATTGCCCAAGACTCAGAAATCTCGAATAAGTATTAATTGGAAATGCCCGAGGGGCAACAAGCCAGAGTTTGCCACCGTTATATTTCTAGTGGTTCGGTGTTAATGTTAATTGATGAGGCTCAGCGAGCCGCAGTAAGTCAGTGTAAACAATCGTAACTGAGGCACCTGTGGAGTTGTACAAGTCCAAGCGATGTCCTGCTCAAGCAAGCATCGAGGCAGTACTCGTCTCCTGTGTACAGTGGTGGAAATTCCACATTCCTATGGTGGGGGAAAGTCCAAATAAAGGACAACCATTGTAAACTTCCCCACAAAGTAATGTGGTACGTACTCATATAATGAACCACCGGAGGGATTATGGGCTGAGTTCACCACCGCCCAGGCAGGAATTGAATTCAGACGCTGACGATTGCGAGTGCTCGCTCTGCTGCGGAGAGCCACACCTGGCCAGATGGAATCCTCGTGGTGCGGCGTTAATGCTGGAGCCTCGTGAAGGCCACACTTCATGAGCTGCATATCCTGCGAGCAGCCAGTTCCGTTATTCATCGACAAAGAAGATTGAAATTCACAGAAAACTGAGCCATGAGACGCAGCATGATGCAGTCCTGGGACGGAGGCCGCTACTCCAGTGAGAGTCTATGCACAAGAGTATACCGCTGTGTCCTGCTCACATTTCTAAACTTGAGCACTGTGTAATATGTTCCTGGACGCAGCGACTCACGGTCACTGCATCGCACTTTCAGATGCACTTCTGTAGCCATCTGGAACACTCTTCCTTCCGACATTAGGAATCCACTGGAGCTTGGCACTTGTAAATCATCGATATTGAAAACGAATTTCTTTAAAACTGACTTTTGTGTTTAGTTTGTTGTCGTTTCCCCCCTAACCACCTCCGATTAGCACGGTTGGCTACGTAAGGTGCAAAAAAAGTTCAACATACATACAGGTTAATTGAATTACTCTTGTTCTTTAGGAAAGCCTCAGTGTGTCTCAAGACTATTTTTGCAATAGGGGGGCAATTTTGCTACGTGTAATCCCAATCGAGCAAAGTGCTGGAAGTTTTTCAGCGTTGCGATTGTTCGGACAATACCACTTACATTGTATTTTTTTTCTAGCTATGCGGGAAAACCAGAGAACCCGGAGTAAAGCCCATGCCGAAAAAGGGAAGAGCATACAAAACTCCACAAGCAAAGGCACTGAGTCGGGGAATCGAACCTAGGACCTTCCTGCCACGAGGCACAAGTGCTGCCCACTGTGCCACCCTGCCGCCCAAAGAAGCGTTTGTTTATAGACGTTTATGCAACATTGCATGAATGTGCAGTCACATGTAAAAAAAAATGCAACTTCAGAACATTTAACCAAAACAAAGCAGGGCTTTTACCAAAAGTGACCATGCACCAGCGGATGGCACTGCGTGTGTGTTTTTCTATTTCAATGCTTATTTAAATATCCTTGCTATCAGCTTGACGCAGGCTTCTAATGTTTGCAGAAAGTGTGTTCACTGGAAATTTGCAGCAAAAAAATAGTCAGATCCTTTGATCAAGGATCAGTGGATCACAAAGGGGAAAAAAAATCCTTACCC